AAGAAAAAATGGATTAAAAAGAAAGTGCAGACGAAGAAGATAATTCAACAGGAAAGACATGAGGAAGAATAGGAAAGATAAGGAGAGAAACCCTTCAAACAGACGAAACGATTTAATGTAAGACTGATGGACGAAGGCTGAGAAGAAAAAGAAAGGGAAAGAACTTATAAAAAATGTAAAGAGAAGGAGTGTAACAATGAAATGGAAATGGTAAAAATCAATAAGAAAGAAAAGGCTGAGTTAGACGAAGAACCACGAAAATGAAATGCAGGGGATGAGAAAAAACGAAAACAAGAGGAGGAGAAACAAGAAGTATCTGTAAAAGGAAGGGAGGAAGAAAAGAGTAGCAGAGTTTGATGAAAAAGAATTAACCATTCGATCGTAAAATGCAGTGAAGGGGGAAATTTGAATAAGAATAAGAAGTACCACAATAAGAAAACGAGTGACTCGAACAAAAGAACATGATGAGGATGAGGATCACGAGGAAAAAAGTAAAAGCTGACAAAAATAGGAGCATAAAAAAAGGCTGAAAGAAGAGCATAACACTCTGAAGAATATGATGATGAGGAAAAATAGAAAAGCAAGAAGAATGTGCAAAAGAAATACTGGAGAAAGAACGAGACGTCGTAAAAGAAGGCATAGGAGAAGAAGAGAAAGAAAAACAAAAGCAAGAAGACAGCGACAACGAAACGAGAGGAGCAAGAAAAGGTGGAGATAGCAGCTTTTAGTCTTGACCAGTGAAGCTGATGTAAGCGTTAGATTCTCTCCATTTCCTCGTTTCATCGTTCCATTGTCGTTCAAAATGTTCAAAATTTCAGTCAGGTATTCCGCGAGTTGTCGTAGTCATCCGGTTATGTGGTAGAAAACATGATGAAAGATGTCAAAGTGCTTTTTTTTAAAAGGTGCTGATGGATTAATATTGTTTTTCCATATCGTCGAGTAAAATGGTGCCCATTAATTTTGTTTGTCTTTGTCTATCGTTTCTTTTTTGAAAACAGGAATAACCGCAGGTGGTTTTGCTTAGACATTTGCATAACGTCGGTTGCCTGGTCCAAAATTGTGGTTCTATGTTAAATTTGATGAAAATGGTTTTCGATTGAATCAGTCAAACGATTTAATTTCTATTTTATCTCTCCTTAATACGTTTTTTTCTAAGTGCTCTATTTTTCAGCTCTACGAATGCAAGAATGTTTCAGTTTGCATGTCCGACTACGGAAAATCTTTGCCGATTAATGGTGTCCTTAGATTGATAAAGAAGGTAAGTCGTTTTTGTACGTTGTCAGTGCGTCGATAGATCGTTTGGCATAAATTCAAAGTTTCTACCTCTCAGATCACGATGCGGATCCAGAGAATTTGTTTTTGCTAAAATTCACGCACTGACGTAGAATCACCAGATGCTGTCCGAAATCCATTTGGTAGAATGAGTTCTCAAGCTCAGTGAGTGTTTTGTGGCCTCATTCACAAACGTGACCAAATTTGTGCTGAATACCTACATTCAAAAATTAGCATGTGAGCAGTTAGCCGTACTGCCAAAAAGTTGATTTTCGAATGGGGTGTTGTCTGCAGCTTTGAAACGACAACAGTAAAACCATGTATTCATTCAGTTGTGCCCAACGTTCATGTCTACTTTGAGGCCGCCACTGTGGCTTAATGATCTGAGCCATTCAGTTGTTCTGTAGACGTAACTGAACTGACGTACTGACTGACCGACCGATCGGCCACACAGCTCTGTGGTACTATAAACTATGCAATAGATAACTGTAAACCTGCATTACTCTGCTGCGTCGAACAAAATCTTGTGGCATGCCTGTAATGTCCTCATATTTGTTAGAAGCAAGGCGATGCTGCAGTTATGCCGTGCGAATCGACACAGGCGACTCGTATATGCAAATGCAATATCTAACTTAAAGTTTGGATTTAAATGAAGTTTCATATGCATACCAAAAGTTGCCGTTTTCTACGATGTTCAGCGACATATTTTCGTCTTGCCGTTTTGTGTCTGGTTGTGCTTGCTTGATGTCCAACGATAGAGCGACGTGGTGTCAAATTACAACGTGCTCTCTTAGCACAGATGTGTGTTTTAGCCAGTCGGCATCTTCGTCGAATGGACCCCGGAAAATGTCGACGATGCTTACTCAGACGAGAGCTCGAGGCCGAAGATCGGTGTGTCCGACACCGGTAAGT